TTGGAAAGTGCAAAGCACATACCATATCTGGATACCTCGATCGCCAAGCGGTTCATTGCCTCTTGGACTATTTTTTGAGACGGGAAAAGAAAGCGAACCTATATGGCTAACACAGAGTACACAGTCCAACTGTGCATACGTGCTATTTCAAGCATTCTGGTCTAATAAGAAGTGACAGCACGATTGCCACTGCTGTCGGTTTGCTGCCATAACCTTGAGAGTCTTCTTCAGGCGGTACTGAATGTTTTGGACCCCAAATCACACATAATGCTTTATTACAAATACAAGCAATACTTACCAACGCAATCAAACAGCGACCCTCCCCCCTCTCGCTTCTTGCTCATTTCAAATTTATCGAGCCGACAAACCTATTCTGTTCATACGGTTGATGCAGTTATTCTAAACGATAAGACCAGTATGACCGTACGTTTCACAGTTTCTGTTTTTCTGTAGTTGACTTATTGATAGCACTGTTTGGCCGTCACACTGGTTGTGGTCATGGAACACTTTGGATGTTCTGAATGAATGCATAATGTGGACCGTTCACTAATCCCTAGAGTGTGCTCCCACTCACCACCCCTCGCCATATCACGTCAAAATGGATTGTTTGTAGATTGGCGTGTGCGCACTCGGACCAGGTTGTTTGACGTTGCTGACCGTGTTGTTCACACTTTGCAACAGTTTCCCGCTTGCTCTGTTTCAGTTTGTTTGCACTGTCAACCGGAATGGGGAACTGTATAGTTTACATTACTCTGCTTCGGAGTGCACGTCCACGAGGTTGAGGTTGACGTAGTTGTAAACTATCACCTACATGCTTGTCATATACTGTCCTCCGTCTCCTTGTTCAGCTGTCACACCCAATCACCTTTCGTCCCAACTCGGTTGAGCACTAATGATAGGAGACCGGGTTGCTTCTGGGAAATGCCAACAATCCTGGAGTTGGTAATGGACGCCTGTCCATTATGTCTTTCATGTTCACTCGTCCAATTTGTTTACATCGTTGGTGTTTCCCCCTTTCGATTTCTTTGGAACTGACAACACCTATATGCTAGGTATCCAGATCATTTGAAGAATCTTACCAATGCGTTGAGATACTACGAAAACGCAAAAAAAAACGTGATCTTATCACGTTCAACGCACAAATCATGTTCTGAGTTTAGAGGACCGGTCACAAGATCGACCACTGCCTGATCCACGTGACCGTTTTTGTCTCTCTCTCCAGTTGATGACATCACGCGTATACCACTGATCATGCAGAAAGTACTTCCTTACCATAGTGTTCGGTTGAAAATGTAAAGACCGTACCTGTATTTTTGTCTTCACTTTTTTGAAACAGCTTAAGTGAGCGTCCTCCGAGCCGCCGTGTGATATTGAAGCGAACGAGTCCTGAAATCAGCTGATCACACGTACAAACAAAGGTGAAGGTTAGCCGGTTTGAATCGAACAAATTTTAAACCAATCAAATCAGAGCACCGAGCATGCAATTATACCGAGATTTCGGTTTACAACTGTTGTTATCCAGTTTATCTTCTAACAAGGGTTGTTTGACCCTCATTGTAGTTGATCGAATGTTAAGGCCTTGTCGTCGAGAAGAGCAAGTCTTGTATATATACATTTATCGCCAACTCCATTAGCACA